TGAATCGACGTTGGCTGAGGGCGCTGTCATAATTTCATTTGAATTGTATAGTCTCTCAATTTTCTCACTCTCACTCTCCTCTGGCAAACTATCAAGTATCTCATTGGTTACCTGACTGGTTTCTTCATCATACATACTTTCCTCAAGTTCTTTCAAATCATTTTCCTTTTCTGTGATTTGACGCTTAGCTTCAAGTTCTTGTTGTTTACCTTTGAGTTCACGTTCTTGTTTTGCTAAAGCCTCCTTTTCTTTCAGGTAGTCCAGTTCAGCTTGAAGTTTATCTCGTTGTGAACGATGACTTGAACGTTGACTTGAACGACGACTTGAACGGTGACTTAAATGTGAACATTTGGGGTGGCTGCTTCTTTCAGATGACATGATTTCTTGTAAATTAGTTGAAGAAAAAATGTAGATATCGGGGCAGGAATCAAAAAACCACGTCACAGCTAAATTTCCAACGTTTATTGAAAATACGCTTCAACTAAAGTGAAGAATTGAAAAATAGATGAGAAATTACATAATGTACGAAACCATCAGCTAATAAATGTTTAAGTATAGAAAAATTACAATAAAGAATAGTTTTAACAGGTAAATTTACCTAATTGTGGCTTCCCACCATTGTCCTTTGATCTTTAGCAGCAACGTTGAGAAAAACAATATACGTGAGATGAAACTGAATAAAACGGAAAAATATACGCGAAATGCGCGCGGAAATGCGCGCGGAACATTAGTTGCCTAGCAACTTTCGGGACTGAAGTCCGCTGTACTAAAATATCGAGCACACTAATAAATATGGCGGACAAGTTTCACGAGTTTACAATACTTCATAAATTCCGATGTAAAGATGTGTTTCTTAAAGTTTTATGCTTGTAAAAGGTAAGAAAAAAGGAGTCTAGTAATGATCTAGACAAATAGATATAAATTACAAATGATAATGTCATTAAATTTGTTTTTAATGGTCGAAAGTTCGACTAAGTTCTTGGGTGTTCGTGAAAATCTATGAACATACTCCTCCTCTTCTTTGGGTTCTTTGAAGAATCTAAAGAATTGTTCCTTGAAAGTTAGTCTTCTAGATATATTTCTTTACTACTTGCTTGGCTTTAAGAATCCAGTATGTTTGGCGAAGTTCATTTAGAACTTGGTTCACTGATCCATGTTTAGTATGTAGATGCATTTGTCTGACAATAAGTTCAGCAAGTGGCGAATTTCCGTCAATGATAATAGGATGCTTGGCTGAATATGGTATAGTAGCATGTCGCAGTCTGCCTTTGACGCGGATTATTCCATTTTCATCTAGGAATGGTACTAGGCGTTTGATTCTTGAGTGACTTGAGACATCTTTTCCCAGTTTTAAGTCTTTGAGGTCACTTCCAAACACTTGTTTTTTGGTGGATTTTGATAAGCAATATCTCCGAGTTTGTCAGTTCATCACATGACAAAGGGCCAGATTCTTTTGTTTTCCATCTCAGACATCTAGCTAGAACACGGACTGCTTTAGATAATGTTGAGAATCGCTTCACTTCGAATGCTGGAGGTGTAGTACATGTATCTGTRCATMTTGTTATCAGGCATTTCTTTCTTACTTCTAGGTTACTTTGTTCAATTTTCTCCTCCTCATGAGGAACTGT